TGACTTTAAGCATCAGGCCCAGAGACCCGTAACCACAGCGCGCTCAGGACTGGAAGCCCCCCGCCCAGCCACACCGAGCCGCCACGGCTGGATGAAGGAAGCGTCTGGTAAAGTTCACCCTGCAGCCCAGTCTTTGATTCTGCATGGAAGCAAATACCCCTGAAGGGGCGAAGAGCATAATCCAGAGGTACCAGGAATGGAAGAAAGCTAACTTAGAAATGTGGTTCCTGTGAGGGAGGCAGGGAACTAGGGAACTGAAACTCAGGCCCATTAATGAGAGACGTCTTTAAACGTTCAAAATTAAAGAGCACCATGAAGGAACAGAAAGCCCTGACTGGGTCGCACCTAGCAGACCTGGATCTAAGAGGCCGCATCGTTTCAGGGTCTTGCTCGCACGAGCCAGCTTGACCACATCGCGTTAGCGTGACTGCGGGGTCTGAGGGTCCCTCGCCACCTAATTCTGTGTCTGCGGAGCGTCTGTCCCACAGAGCAGAACAAGCTAGAAACCAAGCTGGGAAAGAGCAGCCAACGGGAAGAAGGCAAGAAACAGCAAAGCAGACAGAAAAAAGGCCCCTGTTAAGACCCTAAGAGCGGGAATTCTTATACCAGGTCACCTTGGCCCACGGCTGCCCTTCCTCTCGGGCAAGAAAGACCAGGGATTTTTTTTCTTCTTCACTCTACCCGTTGGCTCCACTGTGAATTCCTTCATGGTAGAAAGGCAAGAGTCCACGCCTTGGCGGTTTTCCCCATAGCGGCCCCTGCCCGCTAACACTCACACTTACATAAAATGTAAGATAAAACAGTCATGTCCCTAAAATGATGGATAACTTAGCAAAACAGCCCAAAGAGTTCCGTGAGCGAGTGTCAGTGGGGCCCAGTGTGGATGGAAAATGCCGCCTGCCGTATCAGTAAACAGGATGTTGCAGCCATCAAGCCCTCAGCCACTGCAGCTGCCCCCACGGTGCCCCCCGAGGGGATCAGGATGGACAAAAGCAGGGCACTGGCCCTAGGCAGCTACAGTGCACCTCAAAGGGATGACCCCACTGAGCCCAGACTCTTGCATCTTCCACATATATTAAAGCGCTACATTCCTTAACTTGAGGTGTCTGGTTTTCTTTAACTTACAGGCATCTTTGGGTGTTCCAACTACCTGGTTTTTGTTGCAAAAAACCTCCTATATATCCTGGTCCTCCCTGACCTCTTTGGAGCGGCCCCTCAGAGCTGTCCGAGAGGCCGTCTCCGGGCTTAAGTCCTCAGTTTAGTCCGCCAGATAAAATATGATTCTCAACTTCTAGGTTGTGCATTTTTTTTCCCAGCCAACACCAGTTCGGAAAGCCCATGTGTGGTCCAGGCTTCCTTCGCCAAATGAGACTAAATCAACATCAGCCTGAATTGTTGGAGAGACTGTCCTGGTCTCCCAACTTGTTCCTCCCTTTGGGTGCCTGGTAAATGTCTCACAAATGAAAGAATGAATGAACAAGTGAATGAGTCCCCCGGTGCGTCCTCAGTCCTCTCTCAGTCTGCCTGGTCCCCTCCGGGACTCGCCCATTTCCTCGAGGGGAACAGAGTTCATACACAGGCACAGCCCTGACCCAGGCTCTACAACTGCTCCCTATGGCCTGATGCAAAGTGCAAAGCCGTCAGATCTTCCAGTTCTCCAATAACTTCTGGTCTTTCTCTGTTCCATCCCTACCCACAAACCACCATTTGCTTTGTCAACAGCTTCTCGTGGCCACGAGACTCTTTGGACTTGCCAGACCTTTTCCTTGGAATGCTCCCCTTTACTCATCATTAGCGTGCAGACCCTCAGAACCAGAAGGGATCTCAGGAATTCTGCCCAGTCTCCTACCTGGAGACGGAAACCTTTGCAGAACATCCTGGACCCAACATCAACCAAGCCCTGCTTTGAAAATGATCCTTCATTTTCCACTTAAAGTTATTAAACGCTTACCCCTGTTAAGAAACCTTCCCTCATTAATAATAAATGCATTCACTCACTCACTCGTCTTGGTTTATCAGACATACTGAGCGCCTGTCATGCACCAGGAAATGTGGTGGGCTCTGGGGGATGTGAAAAGCCATGGTCCCTACTTTCTGTTCTTTAGAACCTAATAGGTGGGTCTGCAGAAGAACAGATGCATGAGCAACAGTATCATAATTCTGTAAGACCCACCATCCGTGTGTGCACAGAATGCAATGCTGGGACGGGAAATCAAACAGTTAATGACTCCTCTCAGAAGTCTAGGAAGACTTCCCAGAGGAAGCACCGTGAAAAGCTAAGGATGAGTCTAGAATATTCAGGTCAACAGGTGGAATGAGGTGGGCATGGAGGGCTGGGCATCTCAAGCTGACTGTACACCGAGCATTCTGTCTCATCACTTGACTTCAGGGTATTAAATAATTTGTACCTATTGGAAAGGTATTTCATACATTCTCTGTGGCCAAGAGAGTTGGTCTAAGCCTTTCAGAAAGCAACTCGGTAAAAAGAGGTCAAGAAGCAAACAACAGCAATACCTTAGATCTAGTCATGACACCTGGGGGGGTCTAGCTTGAGGAAATAATCAGTAACTGTGGAAAAGAGTGTATGCAGGAAGATAGTGCATGCTGGATCATTACAAGGGGGGAAGAACTGGAAAATGAGCCTCCAACGCACTTTGCTGGAAGACAGATACATCAACTGCTCTGTTTATTAGAGAGAGAATTTATTCTACAGCTATTTTTTGGGATATTACGACAACTTGGAAGTATTTACTCATATAATGCGAGATGAAAAAAAGAGAAACAAATATGGGCATGTGATCATAACTGTCTTTTAAAAATCACAAATATTTAAATGTTTTTAATGTTTGCTATTTAAAAATAACAAATGGGGCCTCAGGAATGGCACCAAAATGCTTATAGAAGTTGGGCTTGAATGAGAAAGGTTTGGGGAGACATGTTCCTTTCTTTTCCTGATTTTCAAACTTTCTGTTTTGTGGTTGTTTGGTTCCCTTACAACCTGTAATAGTTTGCTTGTCTGTCTGTCTGTCTGTCCGTCTGTGTGATTCATGGAATGAACGTCACTCTCTACAATCCTGGTGTGAACTTCTTCCAGAAGTCACCGTCTTCTAGTTCCTGTTTGTCCCTCTTCTCGTCACTTGGTAAGTGCCTCAGTCTGAGCACACAGAGTGTGTCTGCTCAGTGACAGCGGCTGACAAGGCGCAGCACATTTCCCTATGCCCTGCCCTCCCGGGGCCCCACGACCATTAGGAGAAACACCAGCACTTGACACAGCTTTATGTGCTACACACTCTTCTAAGCACTTTACGGATATTAATTCATCAGATACAACAATCCTGTGAAGTGGAGCCACATGAAGGTTAGCCACTTACCCACAGCTGTCCAGCGAGTCGGTGACAGAGCCCGGATTTGAACCCAGGGAGTATGGCTCAAGCGTCTCTGCTCTTAACCACTCAGAAGAGGAAGCTCCGAGATAGCCAGCCCTCTGGACAGCCTGGCATGTAAAACCCACACACAGAACTGGGTGGACGGGGCGGGTGGGGGCGGGGATCTGGAGCTGGAGGATGGAAGCTCAAAGGCAGAGCTAAAGGCGTTCCAGTGCAAGCCCCTTCCTGCATGGAAGCCTCAATCTGGCAACAGTTTCTCTCTGAGAGGACGGCAGACGCAGAGCGCCACCGGACACACGAGCAGTCGTCCCCGCGCATCTGGTTCCGTGCTGGGGAGGGGTTAGAGGTGGCCCTCAGCCAAGGGTGAGGCACACGGGGAGCTGTGTGTTTACACAAACTGGGTCTTGATGTTTTCTCTGCCTGTTGTCCCCGAGGCAGGCGTAATGACTGTTTGTCCCCTGGTGAGTTTATTCAGATTACAAAGCTCAGGCTTTGCCTGTAATTTCAGATACCCCAGGGCTAGAACAGAACTTCTGCGGCCATCTCACCTAGACCCTGTCCATCCCTCTACCGTTACAACACACACACACACATACAGACATTCTACAAATGGAAGAGGATAAATATCAATTAGAAATAATGAGCAAGATACCTGGGGCACAGAGAGCCACTGGCGGCCCCCGGTCAAAAGGGATTAACCAAAGGAGGCTGGAGCCATTATGCAAACACAGCGACAGGTCCAATGACAGTAAGTACTGAGTGGCTCTTTTGTGGGATCTGACTGATGTTCCCCCGTACACTCTAGATTGAGTAAATGTTTAGATGATGTGTCTGACCTCTTGGTCCTATGTTTTTAATTCATTAGTTCCAAGTCTTGGAAACAGGCTTCTCAAATATCCACCCCAGTGAAGGACCGGGGCTGCTCACCAGCAGCCACGCACCGGGAGGCAGCGGCTCCCAGCAGGGACGCCGCTCACAGCGGAGGGCTCACGGCTCCCAGCCGCGTCTGCGACGCCCGCGCCCCACGCACTCCCGCTTCCAGGCCTGAACCAAGAGCAAACGGAGGCTCTGTAACTAGAAACCTTCCACTCACCCCCTGCAAAAAGCCTCCCCCACACCTTTAGGCATAAGCTGACATTTCACGCAGCCCTGCCTGACCAGAGTGGGGAATCTTCGTGCATTCTCCCCGTCAAAGGTGCTTCTGTCCTTGTCCCCAGTGTCACGGGACTACTTTACTCCTCCTTAATGGAAACGCCATTCTTAAACTTCAGACGTCACTACTTCCGTCTCGGCTTTATCAATGATGGAACCCATGGGAAGGAAGCCGAGAGGCGGAACTTCTCATCTCAGAGATGAGGAGCGGAGGCCCAAGGAGAAGAGGGCATCGTCTGAGGATCAAGTCGGTGGTAAGATGCCCCTGGTTCTCATTCCCGGGCTCTCTCTGCCCCGCCCTCCCCATCTTCCATGTGGCACTGAAGGTGACACTGTGCAGCCATGAGGTCCAGGATGGGGCAGAGGCTGCCCCAGGCATTTCCCTGGCCCCCTCCCTTGCCCCGTTCCCTGACCCCTTATCTGAACCTGCCCCTGGTGGAAGGAAGGACCACAGGATCTTACTCATCTCCATGTACTCTGGAGTCAGTCCAGTGTACGGTTCCAAGCTGTAGTCCAGATCCCACTGCTCCGGATGCTTTGAATGGGCAGAATCAGCTTCTCCGGGCTCTGTCTCATCTTTCAGCTTCCGAAATAGTTTCTTTAGCTTTCTGGAAAAGAAAGGGACCAGTCACCAAAAGCCTCTGGTGGACAAAGTCAGTTCTGCAGACAGAAAGGAGAAAAACAACAACAACTAAGTTCTGACACTGAAGCCGTCTCCAACAGAGGAACCCTAAGGTGATGCTTTTCTCTTAAAGACCATTCAAGGATGCTCTGTCAGCATAATAGAAGGTTCCCCCCAACAAAGGATCAGGTTTCTTCAAAGCCAGAGAAATTAACACAATGCTGTAACTCAACTATATTTAAATTTAAAAAAATGATAAAAAAGCAAAACCAAAAAAAACAAGCAAGGGAAAAAAGACATCTCATTTGATTAGTGAGGTTGTCCGGCTGGGAAAGTGGATGCTTAAACAAGTGTCGTCGATGTCGTGCAATGAGTATTAAAAAGGGAGAGATTTAGGGAATTATGAGAACATAAAACCAGGACACCTAACCCGGTTTAGGGCAGGGGAAGTCTTCCTGGGAGACGAGACATGTAAACCAACCAAGGACGGAAGCAGCCTCGGAGGGTCACGTGATGGGGGAAGGTGTGCTGTAGATGGAAGGAATTATCTGTGCAATGGCCAAAGACAGTGCGAGATGAGAACGGCTCACTGAAGGGACTAAAAGGAGTTCAAAATGCTTGGCGCATGGAGTAGGAGAGAGAAGGCGATGCCAGTTGACTTAAAAGGTAGCCCAAGTTCATGAAGATGGCTTATAAGCCATCTGATGCAGTAGTTGAAGTGAGAGGTGATGGCAGCAGAAACCAGGGTGGCTGCAGTGGACATGAAGTAGACAGAATGAGTCACGCTTAAGAGGTCGCGTGCAGGAGACGGTGCTGAAATGCACTTGGGAAGGGAAAAGGAACCAAGCATGACCCCCGGGGTCCTTGGCGGCGTGCGTGGATGGTGGTACAGTTTGCTAAGCTGGGGGACACAGGAGAAGAGGCCGTTTTGATGAGAGGGAGGAGGAGCTGTTGGGGTGGAGCGTCCCATAAGGCTCCTAAGTAGGGATGTCCAGTAAGCAATGCTACGCCTGGGTCTAGGGCTCGAAATCCCAGAATCATCCTGGAGAGAGCAACGGGAACCCTAGCAACGAGCATCCCCTGAGGATGGAGCGGAGGGGAGGGAACGCCAACGGTTATGGGTCTAACAGGGAAGAACAAATCTGACCCCATCGTGGATCTGCTTCTTTTACTTTAACCTTTCTATTTCATTGTTTTAGCCACAAGTTAATCACTAAAGAGATGCTGCCTATAAGCTTAAATGACACATCATGGCCCATCTCTGGGAACCCTGCCTCCCATGCCGTGAGCATTAAGCTAAAATACCTCTCTTTAGCTCACAGGAGACACCCTGAGCAGGCTCACCCGTGCGTGACTGCAGGAAGGGAGAAGTGAGCACCTCCCCTCAGGAGGATGACCAGAACCGGGGAATGTTTCCCTTCACTCCCGCCCCTGTTAGCATAAAAGCAGCCTGAATTCTAACTCGGGCGAAATGGTTCTTTGGGACGTTAGTCCACCAACTTCTCAGTCTGCTGGCTTTCTGAATAAAGTCAATTCCTTGCCCCCAACAACTCGTCCCTCAATTTACTGGCCTGTCGCGCAGCGAGCAGGATGAGCTTGGACTCAGTACCACGCGGTGGGGAGAGGGGAAGAAGCCTCTGTAGGAACAGGAGCCCAGCCGGGAGACCACGCGGCAGAGAAGGCCAGCGTGCGGGGCGGCTTCAGGAAGGACACTGCAGCCAGCCGTGTAATATGCTGCGGGTGGGTCCAGACATCCGCACATAACTCTTATGAACCCCTCCTTCCCTGCAGTTTCCCTTCTGGAAACCTCAGTGTCCATTAAAAAAGAATGAACAAAGAAAGCCCCCAAGAACAGGATTTACTAGGATCCCGCAAGTTGTACAACATACAGATGGGCCGTTTGGAAACCTTCAGATTATGATTCCCACCGTATAATGCACTCGCTTGTTAAAATAACTCCTTTGATGTTACCCCTGCATCCTTTTCATCTGCTATTTTTCTGTCCCTTTTTAATGACAAGCCTGGGAGACTCTGTCCAGAAGCCTCAGAGCCCTTCCCCGCCGGTGCCCCACAAGCTGACCCCGGGACCATGCTGGTCACCGCTCACACCCTGGCCTCCTGGCTGCAGGATTCTGGGCCCCGGGCTGCTCTCCACAGACCTCGAGCCTCATGTAAAAAGGCAGAACCAAGCCCGAGGTGGGCCAAAGAAGACAAACGCATCAACCTCTGAGCTATGTATCCCTTTTTCTGACACCGACAAGATTCAGATTTGTTCCTGAAACTTCTGATTCCTGGCCAGATCCCCCTGTACGGAGGGGAACAAGACCTCCCTCCCCTGTGCTGGCTTTAAAGAGGGGCTGTTTTATGTCTTGAAATACAGTATTTATCACATTTATCAAAAAAAGAAGAAAGTTTATGAAACCTTACTGACTGTGTCCATGGGTATATTTCGGCTTTTTTGGAACGTGAGCTGGGGCTGTTAGCGAGAACAGGGGTTCTGGGATATTTTGCCAAAGGAAGTTCTCATCTGTCTGCTCTGTCCATCTCAGATGTTGCTCAGGAAAGAATTGGGCACTTGAAAAAGATAGTATTTACCCTTTCACATGTGCACACACACAAAGTTCATCTTCCAGAATGATAAAAGGCCACTGACAGCTTTGCTTCATGGGACGCCAGAGCTGAATCTGACATAGAATTACAGCGAGGAGCTGGGGTGTGCTATAGCATGTTTGGGGGCACCATGCCATTTGCACCCAAAGTCTGCTCTGCACAAACACATATGGGAAAGGTGCTGGGGGGGGGGGTGAGCAGGAGGAGATAAGGAAATCTCCCATTAGGGGATTCAGGTGATAAACAGCACATGGTCAGATTCTGCGTTGCCACCAGCCACGTCTGAAGTCATCGTACAAGGAGCTGCCAATGAGCATTATTCTGAGTAACGTTTGAAACCACCTGGTTCCCTTCTGGGAAGCATCTGCCACCACCGTGTCCAGCCCCAGGAGCCAGGGGCGTGTGAGTCGGGGTAGTCCAAGGCCAGACCACGCCACCTCGGTTTTCTGTACTGTCTTGTCCCATTTGTGACAGAGCTGCCTTTAAAGCACCCAGTGTCCCCAGTTTCATGGCCTCCTTTGAAAGCACTCCGTTTTCCCATCTCCCAGAGTCTCTGAACCAAGTCTAGTAAAGGTGGGACTTCCATCTGGTGGATGGTGCCTGGACAGAGCTGGCCTTCCGTAGTGGCCCTGTCTGGGGCACCTGCCAGATGCAGGGGCAGCACGGGAGAGGCCTGAAAGCTGAAGACGCTTATCCAAGGTCCCAAAGGGCAACTGGACAGTATTCGTGGACATGCCTGGTAAGTGTGCCAGCCGTGGAGACTGGGGGGTCACAAGGGGAGACCTCAGCCAATGGTTCCCAAGCAAAGGACACACTCTACTGCAGGTTCACGCAATGTTTCTGCAAAGTCTCTAGACTTGGCCTCCCATCTCCTTGGAGCACCTGGGAGAATGACTCCCTCACTGCTCCCAGCCCGCCCTCTCTGACTGCGGTCCAGGAGAAAACCCTGGTCTGCTGCTGGCTTGAACAACTCCCCAGGACCCGTGCGCCCCCCTTTTCAATAAAGAGAATGCAGATCTCAGGCTAACGTCATTGACTGATAATGAATCATCTTGATTGCATTTCTTTCTGGTGTTTGCTACCTATGGTTAACTGATAGCGTTAGTTTTTCACTTTCAGAAATGTGATGGATTTAAATCAGTGAATCGGTTCACAGGAAATTGATGTGCAAATTGCTGTCTAGGTAGATAATGGGGAACAGTTGAAAACTGGCTCACAAATGACTAAAGGTTGGGAACCAGCCTAATTCAGGAGGCCGGCAGGACTGCTTGGCTGCAGAGCCTTCAAAGTTGTCGTTGTGGTACTTTCTGCAACACACACCCCGAATCTAAGAAAAACACTGCATCCTCGGGGAGACAGGTAAGTTAGAGCTTTCCAATAAAGGTCAATTCGAGAGTCTTTAGCATTTTACAATTTTTTTTGGGAGAATCTCAGAAAATTGCTTTCAGAAGTGGATAACAAACACAAAAGACGATCAATCGTATGCGTATCATCATTGTATTTTCCACCCTCAATATTCCTGCTTCTGTTTTTAAAAATCAAAGTCCGGCCTCTAAGATGAATATTTGTCTCCCTTAGGGGGAGAAAAAAAAAACTGGAGGCAGGCTGAAGGTGCATGAGAGCCGCACTGTGAACTGTGCCCAGAACAGAAGAGAAAACCAGTTCCTGAGGCTTGAGTGGGTCTTTTTTCAGTCTCACTCCCCGGGCTCGAAACATTCAGAAAGCATCACTTATAAATACAAAAGCCACTGACGCTCACGAACACCTTGGCTGCCTGTAACCCAGGAACGGTTCTTCCTTCCTCTTCTCGTATTTACTGTTTCTAGCTAGCTGAGCATGCATCCAAGCTGTATTTTCACGTAACCATGTTTCTTTCCAGAGTAACTTTCCCAGGTCACACAGGGAGCAACGCCTGGACTGAAACCCCGACCTGCTGGACAAGCCCTGCCCCGCAGAGACGTGCTGCCTCCACCACAGGGGCAAAGTCGGGTGTTGATAGTTCTCACCATCCCTTCCTCACCGTCAGGCTCCACTCGTTTCTCTCTGGCCTAAAGAGGCTTCCTTTTTCCCTGCTGATTTCACGTTTCTCAACTGTGCCGCGCATCAGGATGTGGCAGGTGCCTGAGCTCCGGGTTGGATGGGTCTGCTTTACTGAGGGTGGGCTCTGAGTGGGGAGCAGAAGACGCAGCCGTCATCGTCACCATGATTTCGTGCGAACGAACTCAAAACACAACCTGCAGAATCACGGAGAGCTCCGGAGACGGAAGACCCCAGGGCTTGGTGGGAGCGCTTGTTGTCTATGACCTTGAATTCAACTCCATGACTATATTGTATGTTTCCATTAGCAGATTAGGACCCGAAACGAGGAAAGATCTTTTAAAACGGAAGAGACTTGCACTGGAATCAGCAGTGACCAGTTTCACAGAACGGAGGAGAGGTTCATAGGATGCTTGAGCTGAAATGACAATACCTTAGAGATTCCTATATTATTACATATATTATACCCTATTATATATTATGTGTTGTTATCTCCTTTTCATCAAGCGATGAGGACAGTGAGGCTTAGGAAGTGACTTGCTCACAGCTTTATGAATCACTCTACAAACGCCATCAGTTAAAGTGGGGCACATTAAACACACATGAAGCACGAGCAAGAAAATGTCGCCTTCACAGAAAACAGCCTTGTGTTAGTTTCATCTGTGATGGAGCTGCCGGGGGTCGGGGAGACGTCCAGGACACTGTCCAAACACATGGCTGAGTTCTTGCCTCTCTTACAGACTGAAAAAGGCTTCTGGGTCCAGAGTGGATGGGCTCAGTGGTAGAGCAGATGTGCAAGGATGAACAAATGGGCCTCTCACGTCCACAAGCTGGAGACAATTCCATCCAGAGCAGAGTAACAATGTCCCGGAAAGACAGATGTCTTCCCCAGATGTTTGAAGGGGAATGGGGACTTGCCTTTGGAGCAGGGGTGGAGGGGCTGGTCTCACGGCTTCAAAGGGGCCAGATGTGGCTTTGGTGCATCTTTTTTGGGTCTGTATCTTCTCTGGATGTTCGTCCGTAACAAATGTGTTCTCTCTGAGACGCTAAGCTCCTGGAGAACAGCGTCCACGTGTCTCACCAGCTTTGCGTGATGACAATCATGGAGCAGCTTTCCATCAGAAAGCTGAGAACAGGCGCTGTTTTAGAGGGTCGAGGACCTCGAGATTGATGACTTCCCGACTGATGATGAGAGGCGAGCTTGAGCAGAGAGAGATGCCCAGACACCAACGGTCTCCTCCATCTCCTCCTGGAAAAATCACGTGCCCAAGCGTCACCTGAGGTTGTCCCCGTGCGGGGGCAGGAAAAGAACCTAACTGGTGGTGGGTGACGGTGAGACTCATCCTGAGGACCGGCTGCCAGCACAGCATGAGGGAGTGTTCAGGGTTCTCATCCTTTGAAGTCGGGCTCTCATTAAAAAAGAGTTTTCTTTCCACATCAACTCATTTTCTCCATTATAACGTTAGCTCTCTAAGGGTGCTTCTGAGCAAGACCAAGGAATAGCTTTCTGTGGGGGCCTTTCAGGCCATCCCAGCTCCCCGTGGGAGCAGCGACACATGTAGTTTTCCATGGAGAAAGGAGCTGGATCACATAGTGCCTAATGGTTCCCTTCAGCCCAAGGAACCTAGCGCTCAGTGACCTTTAAGCAGATGGAGAGAGGCTCTGCGTTCTGGCCCTTGCCCTGACCCTGGCGTGCCCCAAGACCGGCCAGGGGACCACCACCCTATCTTCTCCACCTGTAGCAACATCTGGGTCAGGAAGTGTTTACTGATCAGCCCAAGTCGGCCTGTCATTTGTTTAGAAAAGATACGTACACCCAAGGGAAACGGCTTCTTCAGACAAAAGAATGGCGGACCGACTTGGTACCTACGGTGGTGACGGCCTTCTTTCAAGACACATACCCCGTCCGGAAGACACTCCCCTGCTGACGGAGTCTCCTTTAGCTGCTCCCGAACGCCCGGCCTCGGCTTACTCTGAATTCTGACGCAGTGGGCACCACACAGAAGCCACCCAGTCACAGGCCATCCAGTTGGTCTCTCAAACGAAGATACTAATCTCTGAGAAGATGAGGACCATTTCAAGTATATTTTCCTTCATTTAACTGTGTGCAAATCTTGCACGTCGGTTAAATAAGAAGAAATAAACAGAGGGGCTTGTGTTATAAACTGAATGTTTGTGTCCAGAATTCACAGGTCGAAGTCCTAACTACCAATGTGAAGGTATCAGGAGGTGGGGCCTTTGAGAGGCAATCAGGTTTACATGAGGTCATGAGGGTGCGGCTCCCACGGTGGGATCAACGCCCTCACAGGAAGAGAAAGACAGCAGCGCCCTCTCTCGGGGTCCACAGAGAAGAGGTCACAGGAGCACACAGGGACACGGCGGTCCTCATCAGAACCAAACCTGCTGGCACCTTGATCTTGACCGTCACGGCCTCCAGAGCCGTGAGAAGTAAATGTCTGCATTAAGCCAGGTTATTTTGTTACAGCAACTCAAGCTGATGAAGACAGCTGGGGCGGCTCGGAATGCAGGTTTCGTAGGTGTGGCTCTGTGGAATCCAATTCTCAGTTTTAAATATCTGGGCCGTACGAGCCAAGAGACGAGGCCCTGGCGTTCCCCGCAAGCCCCCCTGCAGTGTGGCCAGTCTTACTCCAGCCCGTGCAGCTCCGAGCCTGGCCCTCTGGCCCTTAAGGACGATCCTGTTGGCCACTCAAATTCCACTGCCGCTTAAACTAGCCAGAGCCGATTCTGATGTCTGCAACTAAGACCCCAGGCTGACAACATACACAAGTGCAGCTGGAAAGAAAGGGATTAAACCAGTTTCTTTATTGCGGGACTTCTCAGAACCATTAGAACAATGTGCACAGTAAATCTCCAAGAGGGAGACAGAGCGTGTGGCAGTATCCTCACCTACCCCCACGGGGACTGTCTCATGACCACATCCCAGAACAGTTAATCTTGCAAGAAGTTTGCAAAGAACTCTGATCCTGGTATAAACTGCCCATCTGGTCCTCCTAAACACAGCTGGCCCAGCCTACCAGAGTTACCCCGATCACCTCTGTCACTCCCTGACTCTCGGATGCTAAGGCCAGCTGAAAATACCCCCCGAAACAGGTTTCTTCTTCACACCAAAACAGCAAGAACGAAACGCAGACGGGGCTCCATTTTTCTTTGACCTGAAGGTAGATCTTCACCTGCTGCCTCCTCTTCTTTTGGGTCCAGTGCCCGAGAGTCGGTGTTTATTTTCATGACTATCTCAATGCAGAGCCTGAAAGAAGGCCGTCTATGGAATTTGCATAAAACCACGTGGGAGGAGAGGGGAGAGAACCCGCGTGGAAACCCCCACTGTGTCTCGCCCGCCATGAGCCCTTCCCCTCCTAAGGTCGCATATCCCCATTTCTTAGAGGTTTTTCTGAATGATTCCATTGCACTTCTTCCCTATTCCTCTCTACCAGATGGAAAGCCTCTTTCCCTTGTTCACTGGGAGGGCAGGTAGCATTAAAAGTATGATGCACTCTGAGGCCAAGACTCCCAGCTCGGTCACTTACTCACTATGGGGACGTAAGAAAGTGCTTCATCTTTCAGGGGCTCAAGCATCCTGAGTCAGAGCAGCAAACGGGACTGGTGGCAGGGGCCCAACCTCACGGGGCAGTTACTGGCAAGTAGACAGAGGAGTGAATAACCAGGCGATCTGAGAAGCAGAGAGGCCGTGAAAATTCTGCAGCATGTCTGGCCCCGCAGGGCGAGGCCCCGGCAGCAGGGAGGGAAGGTGAGTGGAGCTCACTACTCACGGGACTCCGATCTCGAAGATGTTGTTCTGGATCAGCTGCTTCCCCAACATGATTATGCTGAGCTGGACACAGAGCTCCATGAGGCAGCCCCCGGGGGCGCACTGCAGGGGGAGACACCGGGCAGGGGCCGTCAGACCACGCGGGGCTCAGGGATGCAAGGGCCCGAGGGCAGCGGGGAGAGGGGTGGGGCCGGGGACACCTACAGACCTCTCGCCGCCAGGCAGGGCACACCAGCAGCTATACTTGCCTCTTCCATGCGGTAGCCATCGAACACGTAAATGTAGCTCCCAGGTCTGCCCACAAACCTGAAAGGGACAAGTGCGGGCTGAGTCAGGGGGAGAGAGGGGAAGTTGTGAAGCCGGCTGGCACTGTCTGGAGTCATAAGACCCCCACTCCTGGGCTCTCTGAGTGTCTGGAGTCTATGGACCCCTTAACCCCACTCCCCAGGGCAGGACCCTCCACATACCTGCATTTCTGCAAGAGACAAGCATCCTCTCCATGTGTGTTGACCCTGGCAGGGCTCCCCGCCCCGGGAGACAGCCCGGCTCACAGCACCCTGGGCGGACAGCCTCACGTCCTGCCCTTATCAGAGTCCTAAATCCTATTATTCAGAGAGTTCCTGACAGTCAGGTACCTGTGTGCGAACTGATCATTCAGCCCCCTATCCTTGTGGGCACAGCCCTCTCCCCCCTAATAAAAAACCCGGCCCGGCCACCCCGCTCACACAGGCACCTCTCATCTGTGTGACCAGTGCTTGCCTGTAGCAGCGTATCTATTAAACTTTCCCTTTCTTCTTAAATCCTCGTGGTCTTTGGTCCTTGATAAATTATTTTACCGTGGCAACCACCATGTTGTGTCCCACAACAAAAGTCAGGGCTGCCTGAGGGTGTGTCTTTTGAGCTCTGAGCAGACTGACCACTGCCCAGTGTCCTCCTGGAAAGGACTGGCCAGGGCAGGTGCTACGTCACCCAGAGACGGGGGCTGCCATCACACCTGCTGTCAGCTAATGCTCCCCTGTAACGCGCAGGACTCACCTCTTACTCTGGCCAAATTCCAGGGGGAACGGGGCTACGTCTGGGTCTGGTGTGGGGCTAGGAAGGTCGTATGTGTGTGTGTGTGTGTGTGCACATGCGTGAAAATTTCAGAGCCCAAACACAGTAAAGTCCGGACTGTGTCTAAGTGTAATGTCAGCGCACCTCCTTCCCTCATCTAGTGCCAAGAACTCAGTTCTGATCGCAATTCTTCCACAAGGGCATCTGATTTCCCAGGAAATAAAGGCTAAGACGGATAAAAGTGGCCAGTGGAGATTTCTGGGACTGGAAGAGAAAAAACTAGACTTCTTATTGAAAATATTCAAGGGGACGGAAGAAGCCTGACTCATTCCTCTTCTAAGACCTAGGGGTCTGTCTTACTGGAGGATAAGAAGACTGGGGAGGCGGGGGAGGCAGAGCGGATCCAGCCAACCACGAAAGCAGGCAGGTCATCAGATGAATCCTACGCACTTGGAGTGTCTTCCCCTCATCCACTGACTTGAAATCCTCCTCCTCCACTGGAGGCTCAGCTTAGCTTTCCTTCTCTGTGAAGTCCTGTGTCTCTGCTCATAATTGCCCCCCTAACACTTTCTTTGCACCTTTTATTACAGCGCTTACTGCAGATTATCCTGTGTGTGTTGCCAGGACTGTATCTTCCCATACGCAAGTCTATCCAAGGGTCAGAACCCTATCATTTTTTTCCTGGAATAGCCCACGTATGCAAGTTTCTGTTTACATTGTATCGAGGTGTAAATCACCAACGACATATATAATCATTAATACGGAGAGTCTCTCTGCTACTGTAATTTCACGGGAGTCAAGGACAGAGGTCCTGAGGAGGGGCTGTGGTTTGGGTCACAGACACATTTACAGGAAATTATAAAACGTGGAGGATGATAGTTCTTGCTGTTGGTGCCTCCTTGATGAGCTTTCATTTCGAGGGAAGCTTTCCTGATATAGCTGATGCCGACTGGTAAATCTTGGAGGTAGCCGGCTAATTCGACCACAGATATTTATCAGAAGTGATTTTACATCCATGACTCCTGTATAATAAAGACTATGAGTGGTCATTGTCCCCTATCCCTGGGAGGAGCCTCTAAATTCTTGGAATTTCTCGAGAGGAGTGTCTTCGTTATTCATGGTGGGCCCCTGGGAATATACCTAAATTTATGCTAATGAGACCACTGAGGATGGGGGAGGCCACGCCAGAACCATGTGATTAGAGTTTGGGCTCTGAGCCAAGTAAAAGCAGCCTGATCTCAGGGGAGGGGAGTGGGACTGGGGTTGAATTCCCACAGGACCAGTGATTCACGCAGTCGTGCCCAATAAAAACCCTGGACACTGAAGCTTGGATGAGCATCCTGGGCGGTGCTCACTGACGTGCCAGAGGACAGAACCTCATGCACCCAGAGGACACGAAGCTTCTTTTTAAGACCTCGCCCTGGGTGCCTCTCCCACTGGCCAGTTTGGATTTGTATCCCTTTGCTAATGACACTGTAATTTTAAGTACAGCACAGTCCAAGCTCTTTAAGATGTTCTAGTGAATTATCAAACCTAAGGGGCCAGTGGTTGGAGGCAGCTGGTCAGAATCATCAGTGGCCTGAGAACCCCAGCGCGCGCAGTAGTGCCTGAAGCGAGGCAGTCTTTCAGAAGACTGTGCCCTTAATCCGTGAAGCCCACACTGACTCTGAGTGCTTGGCATCAGACTTGCACTGCAAGATCTAAGAGCCGCCAGCTAGACGTGAAATCCCCTCCTGCCCCGTCCTCAAAGTGGGGAGACACAATTCTTCTACGACTAACCCTCTGGGGTCCAGACCTAAGTCCCTGGAGAACTTCCCTGCTTATCAGCATCTGAATCCCAAGTAATTCAGTGCAGCCAGGTGGGAACGGGGAACAGGGCTGAGGCTGTGCACAAACAGCGCGGACAGGCTGAGCTCGCAGAGGACTCAGTCTTCGTGACCAATCGCCCTCCCATGGACGGCACCCACATACTCACCTCCCCTTGAAGAAGGCCACATAGAAGATGGGTGAGTAAGCATTGACAAACTTGAGCAAGAAAGCCTTGAGGATCAGGCGCTCTTCAAAAGTCTGCTCTGTTTTTGGAACCTCTGAAAGAGAAGAACCAAGCTGAGCGGACTGAGAGACAGATTTCTCACCTCTCCAGAGTTTGGACCTGGGGGCAGGGGGCAGGGACCCAGGGGCCATCCTGCTGACTGACACTCCTCACGCTGTCCCTGAGCTCCAGATCCTTCTTCAACCTGACTCTTTCGCCCTGACTGAAGGAGAGGATTCTGAGGCCCAGATAGAAATGCCTGCCACCAATTTCTCAGGTCACTTTCAGCTTTAAGATCTCGTAACTCTGAACTTCCAAGGGGCTGTTAACCCCATCGCCTTCCCCACGCCTGTCCCGCCCGCCCTCACCATGTACAGTCTGGATGCTTTTTTACCATGAGCAAGGTCAGGGAGCTGCATCTGGGTGGACCACAGCTGGTGTCAGATGCACATGTAGTGAGTGGATGAATGAATGAGTGACATGGAAAAAAATCATTCCTATCACTGAAAAAATATTTGTCATTCACTAAAAATTCCCTGCCACATTCCAAGGAGGGCAAAGCCTCGGGAAGGACCTTTGCTGGACGAGGTCATGGGCATGAAGATATGCGAGGAGCCGCCAAAGAGAGTTAAATTCCCTACTGAAGGTAGGAGATGGGGCACTGGACGTAGATGCAGGACCCGGAAAGGGAAGAGCCAGTGCCCTGCGAGGAGGAGCACAGCGAGGGGGATGAGGGGCTGCGGGCAAAGGAGAAACTGAGTGACAGGTGGGGAGTGGGAGGAAGCGGGGGGGAAATTTTCATCAACTTCTGCTGTGTAAGCTGTAGTGTGACCCTCTACCATTTGCCTCCCCACAGAATCTCCAATAAAGATTCATCAAAACCTGCATTCCTCAGCAGTGCTCAAAGAATCCTGGATTGGTTCTTAGGGGAAGGATGTGCAAAGGACTGAGTCCTATTTCAAGTGGAGCACAGAGGCAGGAACACAGACTGCCTGCAGTGTGCTGGTGTATCCGGGTTGCAAAGGAGAGAGACTGGGAACAGAGAGAGACAGAAAAGACGAGGAGGAGGAGAAGGAGGAGGAGGGGAGGTGAAGAGGAAGGAGGGAGAATGGGGAAAGGAAGGAAGAGAGGGAGGAAGGGAGGATGGAAAATGTCACCTGCTGCATCAGTAAACAAGGACGTTGCAGCCACCAAGCCCTCAGCCACGGCTGCCACCCATCTGTGCACCCGAGGGGCCTCAGGACGGCGAAAAGCAGGGCCCTGGCCCGAGATGGCTAAGGTGCACATCAAAGGGATGATTTCAATGAGCCCCGACTCTTGCAACTTCCCATACTTAGAAAAGTGCTAACATCGTTGTCTTGAGACGTCTGGTTTTCTTTAATTAACAGTCATCTTTTGATGTTCTAACTACCTGTTCTTTGCTGCAAAAACTCCTGCAGGTCCTGCCTCCTCCCTTCCCTCTTGGGCGCGGTCCCTCCGGGCTATCCCAGAGGCTGCCTCCTGGGCTTAAGTCCTCAGAAAGTCCAACGAATAAAATGTAATTCTCAACTTTTAGGTTGTGCTTTTTTTTTTTCTTCAGTCAATGGAAGGAAGGAGAGAAGGAAGGGAGGGAGGGAAATTTTTCACGAGGAATTTGAGCCACTGCCCAGTGTGCCCGAGGCAAACAATTCAACAGTAATGTAACCACATCTTTTCTCTCATTTTTAAGTATTTTGGGGATAAGAAAATTAAAACTGATGTCACCTGAGAAAATAAGGAATCAGGTCTGAGGATCTGAAAGTTTGGAAAACTCACCTTGGAAAATGTGGCTAGAAGGGGGATTAAGGACGCGGCCCCAGGAGGCACGTGTCTTTGATTTCCTTTTATAATCTCCTTTGAACTCTTTGTACTCCGATCTCCCAGTCCCTGCAGGAATTTCCTTCAAGTCCTCTGGAAAGAGAACCCCGTCCCTCCAGAGCACTTTGCTCCAACTGGAAACAAGTGGCGCCTTCCCTCCATCCTGATGAATCGCGGGCCTGGCTATTATTTATTAGTTTTATTTCTAAAAACAGCCGGTGCCTATGCTTTTAGGGCCAGGAGCCATCATAAATAATGGGCGTTTCCAATAAACAATCCAAATCCTCTCGCGAGGCCGATAAATCACCTTGGAGAAGCTGTGCGGCCACGCTGGGTGAGTTGCTGAGGCTTCTGGGGAAGGAGGGCCTCGGAGAGCCCCTCTCAGGGAGGGAGAGAATGGGGGTCCCCGGAGCTCCATGTGACTTCTGGGTCCTATGACAGCAACTCTATGTCTGAAGAAATAGGACACGTTTTCACAGAGCCCCCTGGGGTGGGAGGTAGGGCCACTGGGCACCATTCCCTCACAGGACAAGGATCTGGAGGGGATCGAATCTGAGCCCGCAAGAAAATAGCCCAGCCTTGTGCTTCATAAAACTCCAAATAAAGTGCCTTTAGAGATCAATTGCTACAGGGATGGAGAGGAGGAGAGTCAACCCATAGAGCACGTGACAAGGTAGAATGCAACACTTCTCTATCAGGCATATGCTCCTGAAATCCCACCGCCTCCAGGAAGCCCCCTAGGGTTGATGGGAGGCCATTCTGAGAGTTTCACCTGCTCCAGGCCAGTTGGAGCAGACTGTGGACAGACTGCAGACTCCAGGACTAGGAGGGACCACTGGAGAGTATTCCTGTGCAGAGCTGTTACCCACCCACCCCTGCTTTCTTTAAAGTGTTAAACCTCTGGTGCATTGTGTCATGAAAAAATATGAGTATGAACGACCCAGCTGTAAACTGCCTTGGAAAATAATTAGTATGAAAGCCCAAGTGAGTCCCAGGGGGCAGCTCTGAATGTGAAGTCCCCAGCGCTGCATCCTAATCACATGGAAACAGCATGGCCAGCGGGAGAATGTCCGCTGCAGAATCTGAATACGGAGGAGCAGCTCGCCCTGACTGGTGTCCCCAGCCATCCAGCAGGCCCAGAATGATGGGGACAAGACAAAACGCGGAGAGGTCCAGGTGTGCATTTCAGCCAGTTCCAGCCCTGCCACCGCTCGCGGCGGGATGGAGGGCCCGGCCCTGCGCGGCTGAGTCAGAAAGCGGAGGCGCCGGCTCCTCCCCCTGCCTCTCCCCTAGGGCACGTGAAGCTTTTGCAAACAGCAGTGTTTCCTGACAGCCCAACCATCTGGCCTTCCCTCCATATGTGAGTGTGCGGGTGTGTTGGGGTGTTGGGGTCGGTGGGTGGGGTGTCTCAGCCTCCCGTGTGATGTTGCTGCCTTGTTTACGCCGTCGGGAGGGAACCACCGCGCAGAGCCCGCCATCTGAATAATTACGCAGCAGTGCACTGCCAGAGGGCGCCCAGAGCCCCAGAGCTGGAGGTGAAGGCTGGCGGGTCCTCAGCTGCGCCCATGGCCCTAGAGCGCTCTGAGCACCAGGGGCCCCACCCTCAGAGTCAGGGACATGGCTCCCACTCCCTGACAAAGGGACAGGAGACCACTGCGCTGACCAGCAGCTCCAGGCGACAGCATCCCAGGGCATCTCATTTTAAAGAAAGGGGACACAAAAGGAAGGGAGAGACTGAGACAGAGAGCAGGGTTCTGTGACAGGTCAGCCACGAGAACTCCAAACCCAGTGCCCATCGTGTGCCCGGCACTGTACAGGCACTCACCACGGGGCCCCCACCCTACTGTGACAACTGCTCTGGGAAGATGTTCCCGCTGTGGCACAGACAGGAGCAGGGAGAGCACGGCGGTGTGACCATTCAGGACCACAGACACAACAGCGGGGGAGCCATCTCACAGACACACTCACCAAGCCCCCAGCGAGGAGGGGGAATAATTCCACCCACAGCCCATCCCCTCAAGTCTCCCCAGGGGAAGGCAACCCAAAGGGATGTGTCCACCTCTTCCATCACTATCTTTTCTACTTCAACAAATGTCCATCAAGTGACTGCTGTGTGCCAGGCACTGGGCTCTGGGAATAAATACAGCGGTGCGCCCAACTGCCGCGGAGCTTACAGTCCAGCAAAGGAGCGGACGGGTACCGCCCCGTGGGAGAGCAGAGTGCTACAGGAATCCGCAGGGAGATGCGGGGAGCGGGTGACGGGAAGGCTGTTTTAGTCCGAGTGGTCAGGGAAGGTCTCTGAGGACGCGACCTCACAGGGGACACCCGGCTGATGAGGAGGGACTGGGGAGGGCTCCAGCAGGCGGCAGCAGCCAGGGCAAAGGCCCGGGGACAGGAGAGACCCAAGGGTGTCTCCCTTGGACGACAGGTCCCAGGGACTGGCGCGTTCGGAGCAAGGAGAAAGCAGGCGACTGGGGCAGGCGGGACCCTGCAGCCACAGGAAGGACTGGAGATCCACCGGACACTCGGCCGGAAGTCACCTGAGGGTCTGGGGTGGGCGGGGAGAGGTACAGGAATGTTAAGTGTCAGAAGGATCACAGGAAACGAGCTGTGTCTGTGTGGGCGTGGAACAGGGACAGACCAGGAAGCAGAAAGGAAAACCAGGAGCACCTGGCTGTCTAGGCAGGACACGGCCAGTACGGAGGGAACTTGTGAAGGTGATGAGAGCTGGGACACGTTCGAAGGTGGACAGACACACTGACCAGACTGGACTCCAGGGGTGAGAAGGAGAGAGGGACCTAGGAGGTTTTGTAAGCGCATGAGAGGGGTGGGCGGTGCCTTTTCCTGAGATGGGAAGTAGGATGGAAGCAACAGGTTTGGAGAGACAAGGAAGAGCTCGAAGTCAGATGCACTGAGTCCCTGGACCCACGTCCTCTCTCCCCACCACCTGAGTCGTGCCCCGAGGTGGGCAGGGCACTGTTTGGACTGAAAACCATCCTTCAAAGTATCCGGCCAGCTTTGAGGAATCAGAATCCCAAGCAAGTCCTGGCCTCAACGTGGAGAAGGGACTGAGTGACTTCCCGAGGCCTCCCTGCTCTGGGCCTCCGTGTCCTACAACAGGCTTAACAAGGCTGTGACAGAGGCCTGGAGGAGGACCCTGGGCTGGAGGGCAGAACATTCTATCCCAGTTTTCCCAGACTCGTGATAAATCACCTTGGT